GCGACCCGCAGTAGCTCCCCAACTCGGCACTTGTCATTCTGATTCTGAGCAGAATTTTATTAAGGATGCTTTGAACAAGAAGGTGAGACTGGGGAATGAGGATACATCGTTGAGACTGCATGTGCTTTATAGGGATTTTTGTCCCCTTGGCTATGGCAGCTGAGGAATGTATTTCACCCTTTTGAAACTTTAGCTTTTTCTAAGAAAACAAAAATTTGTTTTCACAGTGCAAAGAGAAGAGAATTAGCATGTTTCAGGGAACTCAGTGATGAGTGGTCTGAGGACCAGCTGAGATGCCATGATTGTGATGTTTCCCAAAGGGTGTAAGCAAGGGTATTGAAGTACTGTATAATTTAACAATTAAAAAATTACTATAGGTTAAGAAAAATAATTTTAAATAAAATCTTATATATTTTCTATAATGAGATTTATGACATATATAAACTATTACTTAGCAATACTAAACTTTGAAAGAAGGAGTATATTTAGATATATTGTTTTTAATAGTCCATTCGTTATCAGACTTTGGAGAAAATCATAAAAGTAGAAGGCGATCCACCTGAAATTTAAAAACCTATTTTATTTAATTTACTGATAAATGGAGTGTTCTTTTTTGTAATTTCTTGTGTTCCCAGTCATCTCATAGACAAATATATGACCAACTCCTGGAAGAAGGTATAGAACTGGTGACATGAATTTATGACCATTTATAAAATATGGACACACACATTATTTTTCTCTCAATTTCCTGGGTTTTTTCGTAGTTTTTTTTCATAATTTTCTGTCAGTTTTATTTTTTTCTGTGATATAGTGTTTTTTTTTGGTGGGGGGGAAGAAATGTAAAACTTGTTTATGGTAGAAATAAGATGTGGTTTAAAATGGTAGCTGCTAAACTTTAGCAGTTTCCATAGGCTGATGGTGGAAGTCGTACCTTTTCCGCAGGGGTGGCAGCACCGGAGTGACTGCGGCAGAGTGTGTGGGCAGCCTGTGTGGTAACCCCAAGTCATGAAGTGTCAAGGAAGAAACAATAGCCTATAAAAACGGTGATCAGAAGTCCCAGTTTGTAATTTATATTTTGAATGAAATCATGTGAATTATCATTATGATACTCATGTTTTAATAGTGCATACTTTATAAAGATATTTTAGCCCTAAGAGTATAATTTTATATTATTTCAACTATGAAAAGCCTGATTGTTATCTACTAAAATTTAGATTGGTAGTTGTGAAAGAGGAAGAACAGTACATAGAGAATTCATTATGTGGTCACTGTGCCTTTAAGGACACTAGGAGAATTTGAAAGCAGACTCTTTCAGAGAACCAATGAAGGAGCATCTTTTAGGAAGAGACCAGCTTGGTTTAAAACAAAGCCGGACAATGAAGCATTTCTATCATGGCAGCACCACCCCTCCTTTTCATAGTTTGCTTTGCCCTCTCACAAAGGATCACCCTGGCATCCACAGTAGAATTAAAACTGACAAGGCGTCCCTTTCATCCCTACCTGCCAAAATTCCTCTCTACTAATAATTAGTCATTCCTGGCTTCTAGCCAAAGAGTTTAATAAATACTAGAATGGCTTCTGGGCCTCAGCTGCATTTGTAGCTTTAGCTCAAGAATGATGGGGAGCTGGGAACACCACTCTGTGCTGAATGAGATTTGCTAAAGAGCATCTGTGCAGTGAAATGACTAGTCAGTCTATTAATGAATGACTGTTATTTTAATCTATGTATTATGTTAGTGTATGTGTAGAGATGCTCTTGGTTATATTCAGATTTATGAAGTTTATTTCTCTACCTGCCTTATAAAATGAGTTAGTTTATAGCATTGTGATATTTGATAATCGCTCTAACAATCATTATTTTTATACATTTCATGTAGGTGTGCTTACCTAGGAAACATAAATGTCTTTGATTTCCAGGAAAATGATGATTCATAATATTCAATGTCTATACAATAAAATGATGTGGATGATATTTAAGAAATAATCATTATGGATATTATTTTATTCAGTTGAGCAAATTCTTATTCGGTTTGTGATGGCATCAATTTAAAATTTTCACAGAACATACAACTGAATGTCTTGATAAGAGTAAAAATTATTGTATTTATCAGAAGAAATACAACGAAGATGGAGAGTTTCTTTTCCAAAATTCTGGGATTCTGTTTTACTGTCTGTTTGTTTTTTGACTTTTTATTCTTTATAAAAATAAAAAAAGCCATTTCTATTCTACTCACTCTAGGAAGAAAAAGTATGAGAGAAATTATTTTACTTTCTTTCACCTTTTATTCTTCAAGGCAGAGAGAAACAACATCTTAATGTAAAAATTGAAAAAAGAAAAACAAAACACCTGGGCAGGCATGGACGTTTTTTCCCTCAGAGTGAGGCCTGCTTTCAGGATACATTCATTCTCTGTGTCCTGGGGCAGGTTCTGTGCCTGTGGAGGACGGGGGAGAGGTGCTATAGGTGTGCCTCAGAATAACCGGTACGTCTTGTGTAAAAGGGTTAGGGTTTCCCTTACAGGCACTGGTCCAAGAAACTATCTTTACCTCCGTGTCTCCGACTCCTGACTCTTATTTCCTAACTCTTCTAAAAGCTCTAGAAGAAGAGTGGAACTTGCTTATTTACCCTAAAACTCTTACAAGGGTGAACACTGATCCAGTTGCTTTATGGTCAATATAATCACATGGTATATGTGTGAGCGTGTCTTTTTATCCTTGAAAGCTTTCTGTGCAAATTTTCTTAACCTGGAAGAAGTATAGATGAAGTTTTGGCCCTTGTTTAAAGGCCTTAATCCCAGAGTGGTCCTCTTCTGCCATGGTCAACAATGAAATATCTGAGAGTTTTCATGAACTCTTATTGAAGGCACTGAGTCAAGGAGATAACCTGACTAACTAACCAGTGCTACCTGCCCAGTTCCTTTCTGACTTGGTATTTTGCTTTGATGAAATTTGCATGAATCTTGACCAGACTGGGAACCAGTTTTCTGCATGAATTTTCCTAGAAAATGATTTCATAGATCATTAGGGGAATTTTAGTTTAACTTGGAACTGTATTTTCAGAACAAAGGTATTAAGCCTCTAACAATCTCCCTCAATTTCTAATTAAAAGTTAAGTTTATCAACATATATTTATCCAACAATTAGAGTAGAAATTATCACTTTGGATGGTGACCAAGAATTAACACACTACAATCAGGAATTCAGAACATTTATTGCAAGAGCTGAATACTTGTAAATAACGTAGAACTGGCAAAGCAGTAACAAGGATAATTGTTTAGATATTTATTCTGTCAAAGTCATCAAACACCCCTCACAAACCGACAAAAATGTACTGCAATAAGCAATGCACCCCTACCCATTATTTTCCATTATATTGTGAAAAAATGTGAATTGCTATTTACAAAGTAATTTTACTTTTGGTAACAAATTAACTAGCAGATTAACAAACCTTTTTTTAAATTTTTTATTTTTATTTTTTTTTCACTTTTAAACTGATGTTGAACTGTGGCATTAAGATAACTTTCACTTCTTTCAATAAAGACATTTTGTTGCATGCTATTTATTTGTTAAATCGTCTGTCATGCCTTAACAAAAACCTGCTAAGAATGGTCAAATTTGGATTTGTTAGCACGTGCAACTGAGATCTTATTAACATTAGTTGTCACTCCGTTGGTTTGACCTAAGTGACAAGATGCAGTACCTGCCAGGCATTGACCAACTATGATAACAAACAGTTAAACAGCAATAATTAGAGATTTATCCCTTTATTTCCCCAACTAGCCTACCTGGAGAATGTTCTGTTACATCATGAAGGCACAACACATTAAATATTTTGTGGCTATGGTCTAACACTTGTGTTACAACAACAATATTGTATATGAGGATCAACACAAACTCTGCCATTTCAACAAAGTTGTAGACACACATTTGCCCAATTGAAACTATTTTTAAATAGTATTTTTCTTTAATATATGCTAATTTTGATACATTAGTTTTTTTATGAGTGACAAGTACAAGTTATTATATCACTTCTGAACAATAACACTTTCCCATTACTCTTTCACTTAATACTACTAATTAAGTGATTTGCTTTTGCCTACTTTGAAAATAAGGATATAAAAAAAAATAGGTTCTGAATTTCCAAGCTTTTAAAGAAGTCATTTTTATGTAGTTTTTACTTTTTAATCTTTATTTTATACAGAATCACAGCATTATAAACTATCAGAAAAGAAGCAAATTCCAGAACCTTTTCTAAAAAACACGAGTGTTGAGATCCTTTGACCAATGTGTGTCAAGACAGACTACTAACGCAGAAACACCTCAATAAAAGAAACCACAAAATAAGGACAAAGGCAAATTAAAAAAAAAAAAGAAGAAGGAAGTAACCATAAAACACAGAATTATGCTACAACATTTTTAGGTGAACGTTATAAGTACACAAAAGTTGTTAATAATAACTTGCTTCTATTTACAAATACTTTAACACTGACTTACAAGTGTCCACTAACGTTGTTAACAGCACAATAAGTTTAATGCTTATCTTAAGTTTCATTTGAAGTATAATGTCAAGTATAGCAGTCCCAGCACAAATCAATGACGGAAAGAGCACAATTTTCTAACTGGATATGTTTGTCAGTCACTCTAATCCATGGAACTTTCTTACTCTCCAAATGCATATTCTATTGTTCATAGCAGCAGTCCAGGGTCAAAATAAAATACAATTAAAAAAAGAATATTTGCACAATGGAGAGATGTCTGGAGAGTTTAATCAATTCTAGTAAACAAGATCACAAGGCTAGTGGAACTATCTCCTCTCTTATGTTGTAAAACACTGTATTCTCCATGGTGCTAACACAAGGTTATGAATATCCCTGCTATAAGGGGCATAGTTGTAGAGATCTATAGCATACATAAAGCTCTGACACACACAGAATTAGCATGTCTACTTAGATTAAAGTTATTATGTCCCATACGGTCTTTTTTGTTTGTTTGTTTGTTGGGTTTTAGAGTTGGTGCTCCTTAGGACTCTCAATAGCACCTCCTGCTTGCTTATAAGACTTCAGATTGGCCAGAGGAATGTCTGTCATGTGGCTGCCATTGTTGAAATGGCCTTCATTGGAGCCATACTGCTTACGGTCATTGAACTGGTTCCTGTTGCTGTCTTCTTTCCAGGCTCTGGTCAGGGTGTGCCCATTCACAAGCTTGTCTTTCTTGACCCATTCTTTCTGGGGTGCAAAAGTTGACAGAGGAGATTTGGGGTGTTGATATGGACCCAAGCCAGGAGGCATCCAGCAATTATCAGAGTGACCCAAAACCAAGCACTCCTGAGTGCACATCTCTGTAGCTTCAGCTAATCCCCGGGGGCCCAGAGGCCCATCTGCAGAGGAAAAGAGAGAGAGAAAATAGGAGAAGGAAATGGTTAGAACTTTTATTTAAAAGGATCTCCTAGAGTAAAAGTGTATTGATGATCTCATTTTCTCATACAAAGTATATTCTGTTTATTCAAAAATATTTTCCCCTACTTTTTTAACATAGAAAAATTGAATTTCTTGTTACAGAGGTTAAGAATTATCCCTTTTCTTCTTTAAGCCTTTGTTTACATCCAGAAAAAGAGAGAGAAATATAGATAAGTAAATAGACAGACACAAAGACACACAAACAGATATACCCATGATACATTATATCTAATCAGCTTTCTGTGGCATATATATTATAATTGATTTATGTCCTAATTATTAACAAAAAGAATTGGCATTTTATGTCTCATGTTAAAGAAGATGTAAATGCTACGACTTCATGAAAACAAAATGAAAAAGCACTACTTAAAATACATTATTACAATGTATTATTAAAAATACAATAAATAAATACTCTGGCTACATATCTGATATTGTTTTTCCATGTAAATATTTGTTTTTGTATATAAAATTACATGAAAATAATTTGCAACACTTAAAACAATTAAATAATCATTTTTAAAGACTGTTTTTACTCCACGCTATTACTAAAGGCACATTTGGTCTGACAAAAGCATTCTGAAATCCAGGTAAATAAAGAAGCCATTTAATTCCAAAGACAGCATTTGCTTCCTTCTAAGCTTAACCTATATTCAAGATTTGTAAGGTAAAACTACAGCTAAGTTGCAAATTGGACCACACAGAGTCTAATATTTAGGGAGAAAAGCCATCATAAATATTTTATTTATTTATTTATTTATTTATGTATTTATTCGTCCATTCATTCGTTCATTCATTTAATTTTTACCATCAGGCAATCTAGGAAAAACATTTTGAGCATGATTTCAAAAGTAAACTCCTTTGTGATTGTGTAAAGAGATCAGCCTACTTACTGAATAACAGTCAAACAGTTAAGGAAAAAGTTGTTTTTTTTGTTGTTTTTGTTGTTTTTCCCTTGATTAAACAGTCAAGTGATAAGTGATAGCTTGGAAATTAGGAATTGATTTTACGAATGAGGTTAAGTGGATAGGTAAGAATGCCTGAGGCATAAAGCAATTTGAAAAGCAGAGTCATCAGAATAAAAGTGTACAAGAAAATGCAGAAAACCTATCAGCAAGTTTGTCTAATGAACAATTAAATAACCGAATAATTGAAATGTAGGTTTTTGCTAAAATCCAAGTAAGCACTACTATCATTTTAAGTGCCTAGTATTTGTGGAGTTTTATTATATTACCATCTACTTGTTTTAATACTATTCAGTACTTTCTTGCATGTTAAATGATGCCTACTGAGAGAGGCGATAGTTCATAGCAAATACCTGAGACCACAAAACACAGGCAATATCAGAATGAACACTGGATGTAAAAGAAATGTGGCTGAAAGATATTTTCTTACAAACTCAAATTGTATTCGTTTTATTGAAAATCTATAATCTGCACTTTAATCTCTTTTTCAAGTGACTTTTTTTAAGTTTTGTTCTTTTTTAACTTTATTTTTACCGTTGACACTATTACAATGCCCTGATTTTCCCTATCATTTGCCCACCTCCACGCAGCCCTTGCATATAAGTCCTTTAGCTACTACCTTCCCCTTCTTTCATTCAGTCCCCGCCTCATCCCTCCACTGACAGCTGTCAGTCTGTTCCACGTATTCATGTCTCTGTTTTTATTCTGTTCATCGGTTTATCTTGTTCACTAGATTCCACATATAAGTGAAATCATATGGTATCTGTCTCTCTCTGATTGGCGTGTTTCACTTAGCAGAATATTCTTTCCCATCCAAATCATATTCCCTATCCTTCAAAAGCAAACAGTTTTATTTCGTTTAAACACATGTTCATTACTTAAACCTATTTCTAGCATAAACCTCCAATGATTACTTCCTTTCTAGGATATTTAATTTAAACTTTTCTATGAGTCTTTCTTTGCCCTCTAAATCTTGCCCACATTTTTAAAGTTTTAACCAATTTCTCCTTTTTAGGTTTCTTTCGTGTGCTCACTGCCACTACTCACAGAAATAACAGATTTTCCTCAAACCATTCCATCCTCCTCATATTAGGATCACAGACTTAGAAGATGCTTTTCACCTGGCCTGTTTTCATTTAACTACTGACTCTTTGAAGGGTCAACTTGTTTCCCATGTAACACAGCAAGCTTCTACAACTATACATGTCTCATATGTACCTGAAAGATTTCCACAGATCCCGCCTGTTGATGAATACCAAATTTCCTTATTGAGCTCCTTCAGCCCTTACCTTAATACCAGTTTTCTCTTTTGGAGGAAGAGGTTCTGTATATTAATGAGCATCCATTTTTATTTTTGTTTTCTCCCAACTAGATTTAAAACCCATTGATGAAAAAAAAAAAAAAGACATCAGTTTTCTGATTCTTCATAGCCCTAAGCAATAATGATGGTCTGTGAATAATGTTAAATGCCAATTAAAATTTTATGAGATTGAAAATGTACTGAGAAATGATTACAGATATCACCCCTTTAAAGGCAGGTGTTATATAATCATAATAGGTGCTGATTTCATAAACATCAAACCAAAACCTTCCTTAACAACAAATCTCTGCCTAGCAACACTTTGTGATAGTTAATAAAAGAATTATTTAACTTCTGTTAAATTTATTCGACCCTTTCTAGACATCAATGGAGATAAGATAGATAATCACCAATTTGATGTGTAATATATCTTGAAGCCAAACCTTAATCTTTACTTTTACAGAACAACTAATAAGTATTTCTTTTCTTGACACTATTTTCAAAGGGGCCAGGGGAGCAAAAAACTTTTCAGCTGATAGAACCAGGTTTTTAGCTGAGAATATGCAAACATTTTTAATATGGATTTGAACATACATTGCCTTCTTCTTAAGTTAAAAAACATTATGCAAAGGTTGAAGATAATGTATTTGTGTCTTTGTAAGGACATGTGGACCCTAAGTCTTCAGCACTGAGTGACACAATTTAACAGAGTGTATTTTTTCTTTTTTCTTTTTTTTATTTTCAGAACTTATAACATTTATGTATTCCATAAATATTGACTGAGCATGTACTATACGCTGACACTGTGATGGGCACCACTTATAAAACGGTGAACAAAACACACATCAACACTATCCCTATGGAGCTTTTGGCCTATTTTCGGAGACAAATAATGGCCTTAAAAGTAGTGAACTGAAAGCGGTGGAAATGTGTCATTGGGAAGGAATGGGAGACACATTTAGGGAGTTAACTCCCTAACTGTTCCTGGTATAAACCCCTGTTAACTGATTTAGGGAGGCATGTCCCTATACAAGGCAGCAGATGGACTTTGTCAGTTCTAAGCATGCCATCTCTGCTATTTCCTGAAAGTTCTTAAAGATAATTGACAATTTAAAACATTTATGGTTGATATTTCTATGTACAATTCAAAATCATTACCTTGTAAAACATTTAGTTTCTATCAATTAATATTAATTGCTCTGTGAGATTTGAACATCTTATGATTCATTTATGTATACATATATTTGGACACTTTTGATAAAGTCTATAAATAGACTTATAGAAGTTTTATAGACTCTCAGGTAACTCCTTTAGGTACCTGATTGTTGTGTAAAATTTGCAGATCCATCAAAAGTGGGACATAACACAACACAATGACACATGTAAAAGCCAGGTTTTAGCGTTCCAGAGGAGAAAAGGCCAGCAGGCCGGACCGCACAGGGTTTTGTACCAGGAACAGCAAGAACAGCATGATGGTGAGGTGGAACTGAAGGGGCAGCTTCTGTATGACCAGTAGGGTGGGGTTAGCTAAATTCCTAAGGCTCCCTGTGAATTGACTAATTTGAGCAATTTCTCAGCTAACAAAGCATAGGGGATATCCCAAGTGATCTCGTACCTGACCTCTGGACAGTTAGGGTAGGTACATAGCGACCTAGGAGTGTGAGAGTTCTGGACAGAAGTGGTTCAGGTATGGACTTAACTCAAGCAGGGAAACTGACCAACCTCTTGCCAGAGCCTCAGAACTGGGATGAGAGAGTCATTTTTTTAAAGAAAAAGTTAAAGAAAAATACCATACGTTCTCACTCATATGTTGAATTTAATGAACAAACTGAACTAACAAGCAAAATAGAGACTGACTCATAGATGCAAAGCAGGCTGACAGCTATAGGGGTTTAGGGGATGGAAGGAATGAGCAAAACAGAAAAAGGACTCACGGACATGGACAACGGTGTGGTGATTGTGAGGGGCGGGGGCGGGGGTATAAGGGGGATAAATGATAATGGGGAAAAAAACAATTAAAAAAAGAGAAAAGGATAGATTCCAGAAAAGAATAGATGATTCCTAATGTTATCCCCCTTGTCGAATTCTGGCGAAATTATTAAGTGGAAGTTTCATAAACATTCAAAAAAACTTTTTTTCTAACTGCCCTGGCCGCATAGCTCAGTTAGAGTGTCAAACTGATACTCCAAGGTTGTGGATTTCAACAACCAATGAATGTATAAGTGAAACAACAAATCAGAGTCTCTCTCCCTCCCTCCTTTCCTCCCTCCCTCCCTCCTCCCTCCCCCGCTCTCTCCCCCTTCCTCTTTTTCTCTAAGATGAATCAATAATTTTTTTAAATTAAAAACATCAATAAGCTAATTGATTATGTCATTGATAATGTGAGTTGTGTGAGTTATATTGCTGGAAAATATACTTTGTTATATTTTTATTTTGGGACATGACATGAAACAGAGAAAAGTATCTTTCTTTTTTTATTTGAGCCTCTGTATAACTCCTAGTAGTTGTTTGATATTAAAATGGCAAAAAATGAGTTTTATTTTGGAAAATAATAATGCTTGCAAGTTGTTTTCTATAAAGTTTGTTTCATGAGTTGGTAAAAAGAAAAATTAAATTTTCTTTGGTGATAAATTATTCAAAGGGACACAGTCATCCC